TGACCTGCCCTCTGCTCCCCTCAGCAGTATATTTCATCAGTCAGCCTGTTCTGCTCCCCACTCTGTCTCTGGTGAGTCCTCTCACAGCCCCTGCACCACTGGCCTGTACCCTAGTTCTGTATACATAAATAAATTTTAATAACAAAAAAGGTTGAGGAAGGCTCTCCTTCCAGAACATTCCTTGGACTCTGCCTTTCATTCTTTGGAGCCTATGCTTCACAGTCAGTTCAGCAAGAGTATCTTAACTCAAGGCTTGGACTGTGATGTCTACAGAGAACAGAGCACAGAGCCTGAGGCCAGTCTGCCTCCAAAGTTTTCCTTTTTTACAGCAGGGAGATTGCCTTGGCCGGGGTTTCAACCAGTCTGTGGCACAACCGGTCTAAAATGTGGGTCTCCCGATCTCCTGACACTTGGTCTCTATGCTTCTATACTCAGCATTTGAAGGCTCAGTCCTTGAAGACACAGTGACAGGTATTCACAACAGCTGCTGTGGGACTGTCTTAACAATTTTCACAGACTGCGGGGTTAAGCCGCAGTTCCGGAGGATGGAAGTCCAAGGTCAGGGTTCCGTGCCAGGTGAAGGCCCTCTTCCTGGCTTGGACACCATTATGTTGCTGTGTTCTCACACAGTCTTTCCTTGGTGTATGCAGAGGAAGAGAGCTTTGGTGCCTCATCCACATCTTCTAAGGGCCCTAATTCTATTGCTGGGGTCCTGCTCTCAGGGTCTGCTCTACACCTAATTAGGTACCAAAATCCCACCTCCAAATATCATCCTATTGGAGGTTAGGGCTTCGTTATATGAGCTGGGTGTGTGGGAGGAAGGAGGAAAATAAGCACTCAGAAAATAGTAGGGACCCTACCCTTCTTTGGAGTTCCTTACTTGGCAAATGCTTGTGAATGCTGTCTTTCTTCTTTGTGCAGGAGAAACTCCTGACAGAATAGGAAGCAGCTGCCCTGCAGAGTCAGCTGGAGCAGGGTCAAGAAGTGCTTTCTGACTTGCAGGCACAGAGAACCGGATTGCAAGCTCAGGTCAGCTCACACCTGTGCACCATCTGTTAGGCTTCACCCCATAGCATGAATCAGCAGTCACGACACATTTTGATTCGGGTGTCATATGCTGCAGAAGCTTGCATGGCTGTCTAGCTTGGGGGTCCTGCACCCGTATACAGGTGCTCTGAACCAGAAAGAGGGCGTGCTCACTAGGGTAATCAGCTCACCCAACCTGTCCTGGAATAAGAGTCTCCAGGGGTGCAGAATTTTCATGCTGACATTGAAAAAGTCCTGGGTAGACAGAGACAGTGGGTTATGCTAATTTCCAGCCCTTCAGAGATGTCATTTGAGCCCCCATTAAGTTATCATCCCTTCCCTTACAAAAGTAAAGCTATCTGATTTTTGCAAATTCATATATATTGCCTAGTTTGAACTTGTTTTTAGAAATAAGAAATGGGGCCCTCCCTGGTGGTGCAGCGGGTTAAAGCACAGCACTAAGAAGCTAAAGCCACTTTAGCATGAGTTAGACCCCAGGCCCGGAGGTGACCCACATGGCGTAGCAGACCTCTCCTGACCTGCCCGCTGCTCCCCTCAGCAGTGTGCTTCATCAGTCAGCCTGTTCTGCTCCCCACTCTGTCTCTGGTGAATCCTCTCACTGCCTCTGCACTTCTGGCCTGTACCCCAGTTCTGTATGCATAAATAAATAAATCTTAAAAAAAAATGCCTCTGGGCCCTACCTAGTGGCACAACAGTTAAAGCACAGCACTAAGGAGCTGTCTGCAGCCACTGCAGCATGAGTTAGATCCCAGCCAGAGAGTTGACCCACATGGCAAGGCAGACCTCTCCTGTCTTGCCTGCTGCTCCCCTCAGCAATGTATTTCAGTAGACCTGCCTGGTGGATCCTTTCACCCCCCACACCTCTGACCTGTACCACAGTTCTTGTATGCCTGAATAAATAAATTAAAAAAAAAAAAAAAACTGTCTTCTCAAAATGACCAGATGTGTCGTTTTGGTGACTTGGTAGTGTGTGGTGTCCTGGGGTCCTGCAAAGAGAGAGTGTGAGTGTGTATCTGTGCCTATGCATGCATTTATTTGCACGTGTTCCTGTGTCACATGCGTGTGAGATCGATGCACATGTACCCATGTGTGTAGTTCTGTGTAGATGCACACAAGCTTTTTTGCATTGTGTTTTTGTTTTGTACATGTGTGGATTGGGTAAGGGGGGGAATACATGGCCCTAGTGACTATGAGTTTTCCAAATTACCCATTACAACTCCTTATGGGGCAGTCACATGAGCTCAGGAGAATCAGTTGACACGCAAGAACTCGACAACCCTGGCTTAAGACACATTAAGAAATACCAGAGTAGGGCCTGGTGGTGCAGTGGGTTAAGGCACAGTGCCGTGGGGCTGTCCACAGCTGCTGCAACATGAGTTCGATTCCCAGCCAGGGAGGTGACCCACATGGTGTGGCAGACCTGACCCGCCCGTTGCTCCTCTCAGCAGTGTATTTCAGTGGATCTGCCTGTTCTGTTTCCCGCTCTGTCTCTGGTGAATCCTCTCACCTCTCCCTCCTCTGGCCTGTATCCTAGTGCTGTATGCATAAATAATAAATAAATCTTTAAAAATAAAGAAATACCAGAGTGCCTGGCAAGTGAAAAAGTCAGATTTATTTTCTGAGGCCTTTGTTTTAAATATATGTGTGAACATTTATTCAAATACATGCACACATATACTTATTTGTGTGGCTTAAGATGTCAAATATGTCTGCTTGTGTTTGAGGTGATAAAATTAAAAAATTCTGTGCTAGTACTGAGAAAGATGAAAAGGCAACAGCCTGATGTGGTAAATTTTTTTTCTCAGAAGCATGTCATTAAAGGCATAAAATAAAGTACATTTCACTAAAAGGAAGTGAAATTGTATTGAGACATATTTAAAAATATTACCAAACCACATCCTGTATAACAATTTATGTGCTTATATTAGATAAATTTGGCAGTGGGCGTCATGAAACACAGGTTGTACTCATTCTCTCTTGATGCCATAATGATTCACCACAAACATCAGACCTTAAAACAGCCTCCTCTGTGAGCTTGTGGTTCTGTAGGTTAGAAGGCTAGGTGGTTTGGTTGGTTCTCTGTCTGGGTCTCACAAGCTGATGTAAATGTGCTGGCTGATCTGGGTCCCCTGGAGGTTTGTACAAGGATGGAAGGAACAAGCCCAAGACTGGAGTCATTGGCTCCTCCCTTGGAGCTGAATAGACCACACATAATAAAAGCTCTGGGGATGGCACAGATGGAAGAGAAAGAACGGGCACTTTTGGTTTTCTAATTGCATGCACTCAAGAGTTCCTGTGACTGGGAATGTCAAGTCATCGGTATCGTTTCTCAATAAGGCTGCTTAGCACCACCTAGTGGTCAGTTTTGGTAAGAGAGTGTCATCATTGAAGCCTCTCCATCTCAGTCCTGGACAATGTGAATCTATTTTCTGTTGCTGCGATTTTTCTTCCAGATAGTCATATAAGTGGAATCAGATACTGTGTATCTTTTATCGCCATTTCTTTCTTTAACTTTTGCTAAAATTGGGATCCAAAGGGGGTTCACACTTTGTGATTGGTTTCTATGTCTTTTAGATCTCATTTAACCTATAGGTTCTGTTCTAGATTTTTTCCCCCTGAATATTTGAGGAAAGTGCATTACATTATTTTTTCTTTTCTTTTGTGGAATATGCATTTAGAATCCGGGTGCTGTGGACACCAGCTCCTCCTGTGCATGTGGAGAAAGCTAAGCTGGGATTCAAGCAGCTGTGGTGACCTTTGGTGCCCTCCCAACTGCCCACTTGATGTGCTGGCCTCAGTGATGCCAGCATCTGGCAGACTTAGTTTAGGGAACAACTCCGAAAAGTGGGGAACCTGACATGATTCATCCGATTCTGGATGTTTATTATCTCTGATATTTGAGCCTCTAAGGTTTCTTTTAATTCCTTATTTCTTGGAAGTGCTTCTTGGAATATGTAGACATGGGTAAGAATATGAGGCTGTACTTGGAATCAGATGGTATGTCTTGGTATTTGACTTGAGTTTAATGAAGTTTAATGAGGAACAGAAACCTGACCAAATCTGGTTAAATAGAAAGGACCCTTTTGGTGTTATTTTGAACTGGGGCTTCCCTGGTGGCTCAGGGTTAAGGCTTAGCACTGTAAAGCTATCTGCAGCACAAGTTCGATCCCTGGCCGGGGAGCTGACCCACATGGCTCAGCAGACCTCTCCTGTCTCTTCTTGAAATGCACTGCTCCCCTCAGCAGTGCATTTCAGGCAATCTGCCTGTTCTGTTCCCCACTCTGTCTCTGGTGAATCCTTCCACCTCTCACGCCTCTGGCCTTTACCCCAACTCTTGTATGCATAAATAACTAAATCTTAAAAAAAAAAATCCAGGCTTCTAAGAAGCTGCAAAAATCACACAGAAGATCCCCACATACTCTATCCAGCTTTCCCAAATGTTGACAACTTAATAACCACAGTACAGTTGTTATAGGGCACCCCAGTGTGAATTGGGCTGCCTGTCCACGGGGCCTCACCCACACACTTAAAATTCAGTAGTACACACAAAAGGGTCAAAATGGGCTTATTTACAAAGGGGGAAAGGAAAAGAAAACAACAACTGAAATATCTTACCGGCTCAGCCCACCTGGAGCTCTGGTAACAAACTAACTGAAAGCCCCGCATCACGCGGTGTGGAGAGCCATTTCCCGAGCCAGAGACGCAATGGCGTCCTATTTATCCCCCAATGTCCCAGCATGCCTGCTTAGCTCCACCCTTGGGTCCTCCCAGTTCTCTCCCTGGTACTGCAGAGAGTTGTGGTTTTCAATCACTGGAGTAAGGGGCAGAGTCCAGAAAGCCAGAGTAAGGGGTAGAGTTCCTTAGGACATCCTTCTCCTTAACACAGTGATTAAAACCAGGCCCTTCACCCTCCCTGGTGGTGCAGCGTGTTAAAGCACTGCACTAAGAAGCTGAAACCACTTCCGCATGAGTTCGATCCCCGCCTGCCCCGGCGGTGACCACATGGCGCGGCAGACCTCTCCTGACCCGCCCGCTGCTCCCCTCAGCAGTGTACTTCATGGATCTGCCTGTTCTGCTCCCCACTCTGTCTCTGGTGAATCCTTTCACCCTCCGCATCTCTGGCCTATACCCCGGTTCTATATAAATAAATAAATCTTAAAAAAAAAAAAAAAAAAAAAGTCATCCCTCTACCACACCACCGCCCTATCCTTGGACTTGACTAAAGTCTCACTGGTTACATACCTAGTGCTCTTCTGCACCCAGGTCCTGCTTGCATGTAGGTGTCACTTCCCCTTCATCTCCTCCAGGTGAGGACGATGGCTCTCTCTGTCTTTGTGACCTGATGGGAAGTTATTTTGTGTACTGTCCCTCCACTTGGTCTCCCTGCTCTTTTCTTGGGACTAGGTTGATGTGCTGGGTGTGTGGCAAGCACACCCCAAAAGTGATGCTGTGGCTCTTGGGGCCTCTCATCAGGGAGACCCCTTCAAGCTGGAACTTGAGCACTTGCTGAAGGCATGGCCCCCATTTCTCCACTGTCCCAGAACCTTTTCTTGTTTTCCACAGGAGCAGCATGTAGAAGGCAGCTGAGGAATATTGAGAACAGGGAGTGTGACATCAACGGGAGCCAGGGTCCTGGAGTGCTGCTCACTTCCATCTCCTTTCAGTCCTTCCTTTCTCCTTTAAAGAGCTCTGTCTTTGCCCTTTGGCTTCTTTTCTCTGCTTCCTGAACAATTACTTGCTTTGCTTCATATACATGGTGAAGGTTAGCTGCTCCAAAATGGGCGGGGTTTATATCAACATGCCACCAACTCGCCTCTGCTTCTGGGACCCCCCATATTCCCAGGAGAAGCAGCACTTGGTGGCCCAAGCCCTGCCCCAGATCTACAGTTGCAGTGGCGGGGGTGGGGTGGGGGAGGGGTGGGCCACACTGCCGCAGGCCTTTTCTCTGGCTGAGATGGCACAGGCAGCAGACATGGGCTGGTGGACGCCTTCCCTGTATCCCCTCCTTCTTTCTTCTTTCCTCTTGCCCTCTACTCTCTCCCTTCTTTGTTCATTTTACTGCTTTCATGTCCTTCCTTCATGACAGAGACATGAAGGAAACCTTCGCAAGGTGAAGTTTCAAATGTTGTTGCTTAGGGAATGCCACATTCTAAGGCCACATCTGTATATAAAGTGAAGATCATCATAGGAATGTCATCCTCTAGATTGCCTGATAGGCACATTTCTGCCGTGTCACAGACATACAGGAAGTTGACTTCAGATACCCGTCTAGCCTTTGTGACTCAGATGTGTCTGGGAGACCAGCACCATCAACATCACGTGGCACTGGTTAGATGTGCAGAACCTTCGACCTCACCCCAGACCTGAGTCAGTATCTGCAACTTAACAACATCTGCATGTATTTCCAAAGCACATGAAAGGCTGAGAACTGCGGGGCAGTTCTAGGTAGCAGTGGCTTTTTAAAAAAAGATTTATTTATTTACGCATACAGAACTGGGGTACGGGCCAGAGGTGCAGGGGCTGTGAGAGGATTTGCCAGAGACAGAGTGGGGAGCAGAACAGACCAACCGACGAAGTACACTGCTGAGGGGAGCAGTGGACAGGCCAAGAGAGGTCTGCTGTGCCATGTGGGTCACCTCGGGGGCGGGTGGGTTTCGAATTCAGGCTGAAGTGGCTTTAGTTTCTTAGTGCTGTACTTTAATCGGTTGCTTTACCAGCTAGGGCCTTATAGCAGTGGTTTTTATTAGTTTCTTTTTCTTTGTGTCTGAGGACCCAGGATGCAAGTTAGATCTGTTTCTGCCTGGGAAGGTGAGCTTGTTAGTGAATACTAAGCTTAAGAAGTGTGTGCATGGGTCCAGCAAATGTAACACCACCTCTATTTTCTTACCTTAAGTTTTACTTGCTTTGAATTAACATATGACAGGAACCAGGAACCCAGATCTGTGCAGCTTCCCAAAAGCTAATTTATTTAAATACAAGTGTATGCATGTATACACACACACACTTTAACTACCAAAAAATGTATGTTGCACAATTGATAAAACATTAAGAGAAAATGAAAGCACCATTGTGAGTGAATAAGAACAAGGAAATTTTTAATCCCTTCCTTACTTAAAACAGTATTTAAAAATAAGTTTATAAAAAGTTTTATAAATATCTACTTGGTATGTTTTTTCACAATCAGATTTATGCTCATTTGTTGACGTGAAGAGTGCACTTTATTTGCAGTTATACATATTATACATGCAATCTCAGAGGCTGCTAATGCTGAGTTTGGAGAAGGAGCTAGTTTTACATTCCTCTTTGGCTTATGGATTCCAAAGTGATTCGTTGCTGATGGAGAAACTGACAGAAACAAATGAGCAAAACCAAATTGACACACCCAGTCTTAGTTCTCCCTGCCAAGTCTATGCCTTAAGGGAGGTGGGATGGATTTCCTGCAAGTGTGTCTTTGTCCGCAGACAGCAAATCTGGAACCGACAGTTAAAGATGCCCATGAGTGCTGTGATGTAGAGCTGCAGCTCTATAATAACAGATTGAGTTCCTGCGGCAGGAGATTGAAGAGACAGAGAGGGTCCTGGAGGAGGCTTCCTTTGACTGCCAGCTGCTGCTCTTCTCCCAGCAAACCCTAAAAAATGGGCTGGACCGATAGCGGATCATTCAGAATGAAGGCAACAGGTGTGGCGGATGTGTCTCCAGTCAGCCATTTACTCTGCAAGCCTTTGTTGAGTTCTACTGTGTGCAAGCCACAGTTTTAGCCAGCAGGAATGTGGCAGAATGAAACACAAAGCTCCATGACTTTGTGGAGCTTGAATACTAGTGGGAGAGACAGGTGAGGGATGAATTTGTCACAGCAGGACATGTGTGACATGTGACAGGTGGTAGGGGGTAAATTTCGCCTGGAAGGATGGGCGGAAATAGTGAAGGGGCTGATGGTGGGGATGTGGGAAATTTTAATAGTATGGTAAGAAAAGGCTGCACTAAGTAGGCCACTGTTTATCCCACACACCTCGGGGACATAGCAAATAGGATGCTCTGGAGTGTTCAATGAGATGCTACAGCGAGATGCCGAGCACTGTGTCGGTGCCTCCACTGTGCCGGGGTCTGGACAGTGTGTGGAGGCTGCGGTGTTACTACCGCTGCTGCTTTCCTGGTTTGTCCACCTGCATGAGTCATTAACATGGCTGTGTGCATTGTCTAACGTGGCTGCTTACATTGTCTGGTCTGTTGTTCATGATGGAAATATAACTTGAACTTCACCCATTTTATGAGAGCTGGGAAATGTCCCAACCTATCATCTCTTTATAGTCTTATCTCTGCCTCTCTCATCTCCATCTCTATCCATCATCTGTGTTTCCACCTCCACCATGCCTGCGTCTCACATCTGCATGCTTCTACATGTAAGTTATTTATGTTATTACACCTGCACCTTTATCATCTGCACCTGTACCTGTATCTTTTCTACTTGTCCCCATGACAGCTATACTTACACTTCCACCGATACCTCTACCCACACCACCTCCACCTTCTCTACATCTACATCATCTACCTCTGTATTGTCATGTGTCTACCTACACTCACATCTGTGTGTGTATCATCTAGTTGAATATCTACACACACGGATGTTGCCTGCATCGACATCACATCTGCATCATCTGCATCTCTGTCTTTTATACCTACAGGTGCACCATCCACAGGTCATCTTTGACATCTGCATTTGCATCATCTACATCTACACCTAGAGCTGCACTTAAAATTGCATCATCTGTACCTATATCATCACTACACCTGCCTCTACACTATCTATATGCACATTTACATCATCTACCACTGCTTTATCTGTACCTACATTTGTATCTTCATCACATAATCCTACACCGACACCTTTCCCTCATCTATCCCTGCATCATCGATAGCTACATCAGCCACATGTATCTGTATACTCACACCTACATGTGTGCCTACAAAACACTTTGATTCTCTGTTAGGTTGTGATTCTTTGATTCAATCTTGCTGATTTTTTTGAGTTTGGAATGATTTAAGCTAGAAGTGCCCGTGAAGAACAGCTTCCTTTTCTTGGGGTGCTCTGTCTTGGCTGTGAGTGCTTGAATGTTTACCAGGTACAGCAATATTTTCTTTTTCTTTCTCTAAACATGGTTAATATTTTGTGCAAACTTTCAAGTTAACATTTACATTGCAGTGAACACTTAATACTCATATTTACAAGAATAGGTCTTGGGGTCACATTTAAATGTCTGTGAATTTTTTTTTGTTGTTTTGGAGACAAAATGGTAACTGGATACCTCTTTTGTTTTTTTTAACTTCCAATTTTGACATAATTTCAGATTGACAGAAATGTAAGCAAAGAACAAGGAGACCACAATATTTTTAACTTAGATTCACTAGCAGTTTACATTTTGTCTCAATTGCTTCATCTCCTTTTCCTTTTGTATTTAACTTTTTTTTTTTTTAAAAGATTTCTTTATTTATTAATATAAAACTGGGGTACAGGCCAGAAATGCGGAGGGTGAGAGGATTCACCAGAGACAGAGTGGGGAGCAGAACAGGCAGATCGACGAAGTACACTGCTGAGGGGAGCAGCGGGCAGGTCAGGAGAGGTCTGCCTCGCCAAGTGGACTCCTCCCGGGCAGACGGGAATGGAACTCATGTAGAAGTGGCTTAAGCTTCTCAGTGCAGTGCTTTAACCCACTGTGCCACCAGGGAGGGCCTTGTATTTAACTTTTAAAAAGCAAGTTGGAGATAGCATATCCTGGTTTCCCTAAATGCTTCAGTCTGAACAGCCCACTATTTTTATTAGAAAAACAGAAAAAAAACAGAGTAGTGGCATTTTTAGATTACATTGATACATAATCCCACTTTACAATTTTTCTATCTGTGTTACACAACTTATGAGTTGAGTTCAAAGAAATAATTATTTCTTTTATATTCTTTCCTAGTGCATAAATGTGCATGTATGTGGTTATCTGTTTAAAATTATATAAAATCCATGAGCAGTATGATCTGGAGAAAATATTTTATAATTTCTCCCAATAGAGAGTCTCTTCTGCCCCCAGGTATCTATGTGACTGGATGAGTTAAAAAATGGTAAACACCTTCTTTCTGGTTCTCTGTGTCCGGCTGAGCTCCGCCTTCACTGAAATTCCTCTCACTCTGGTCACCCCAGGCCATGGAGCCTTTCTCAGCCCTGGACCTGTTGGAAAAGGTAATGCTTCCAACCTTGCCTTCTATTTTCCTCTTTCCTATTGATAAAAACAATCAAGTGGCCTTCTTCATGAATCTTCCATGCACTCTCCCTTCCAATCTAGCTGGAAAGGAAAGGCTTTCATGTGTGAGATGGTCTCCCTCTCTCTCTCCTGAAGCTCCCTCAGGGCTGCCTCCAAATATTTGCAAGAAGGGACATCATATTGAGTAGAGGCCACCTTGGGAAAGCCAGCCCTGAACTTGAGCCATTTAATTGGGGAAAAATACTTGTCATGAGCTTCACTGTTCACTTTAGCAACAAGTGCATACTGGGTCATGCCCCACCTGCCTCCCCATTAATGAGCTCTTCTATTGAAAGGGTATTCAGCACAGAGTAGATGCTCAGTTACTAGTTTCTGTGTCTTCCACAACAGAGAAAAATAGTTTGCTTGGCCAGAGAGGCTTCTGCTTTAATATTTGGTCCTGGAGGTGAACCCTGCACCTGCACAGCTGATCTAGTCTTGAGCAAAGTGACTTTTCTGAAGAAGAGAAGATGGTGCTTTGATGGTTTACACTTAGTATGCCCTTGAATGCACATGCTTCTGAAAGCTGAGAGCATTGTGGACACTGGTTCTAAGTTAACATTGCTGGGAGGCTGTGGTCCCGCCGCCGGACACTCGGGCTGGCTCCCTGCACTCACACGGGTCCCCATACTTGGCCCGGTGCTCTGTGCATGCAGCCCCAACATTCTCACTAGAGCTGAGCAGAGGGGCCTATCTTTCCCTGGGCTCTGGCCCTGGAATTCTGTAGCTGGCCCTGCAAACACCTGCATCTCCAGTGGCTGCTCAGGCTGGCTTCCTTTGATGTGTCTGCCCTCCTCCCTTATGACTTCATAGACCACTCTGCCATTTCCTGCTGACACTATTTAGGCCACAGTAGACAGCCTTGCTTTGTCTTAGTCTCCCTGTCTACAGAGGTTGAAGGTTGAGAAGATTTTGGAGTAAAAACGTTAGAAAAATCACTGTGTGAGTGAATGAAAAGGCTGTGGGTGCAGGAGGGTGAGATTTTGTGCCTTCTTAGTTTTTAGTTTTTCTTTTGAATCAGTCTGAAGAAATGAATATGACCTTTGCAGCAGTGAATTCCTTTTTTTTTCCTAATGAATTTAATAGCAATGCTTCCATTTTTGCTCAAGAGGAAGGAAAAGCTGATAAAGGTGGGATCCTGTCTATTTACCTTGGAATAATGGAGTTACCATGTGGATTGATCCAATTCCCACGCCCTAAGCCATTCTAAACTCATCAGAAGCCCAGACAGCTCTGTGTCTCTTCTTGGGCAAAGCAGGAAGCTAGAATGATTTTTTCAAGGGGACCCAATTGACCACGAGCAGGGGACTTGGGGTGGGACAGGAACTGCTGTTCCCACCTGGAGCTGTTGCCATAGACTCACAGGTCTTGGTAAGTTGTACCCAGTGTCATGGGACCCGTGGTTGTCAAAACAAGCAGCGCCCTCCCTCCTCTCTGTAAGCCAAGAGGTGCCCCTGATTTGTCCAGTGTCCCATAGTAGGTGTCAGAGCTGGGACCCCCACATAGGTGGTGGGTGCTACAGATGGAAGCTTTTGCCCCCATAGATTGTCGTTTTCTTTCTTTCTTCTTCTTTTTTTGGATCTTACCAGGGCTGTGCAGGATATAACAACAGCAAAATCAAGGCAAACGGCCTTCTCAAGAACTTTCCAAGGAGAAAAGAGATCATTGCTAAAGGGAAAGCAGAAGAAAGTCAGGAAGATCACCACTGAAAGGCCTGCGAGAGGCAAAGCTGGTGCAGTTGGTGCTTAAAGAAGAAGGTGAATCTAATCTTGAATCAGGGCATGGGGTGGCAAGTCTCCCCTGCCCAGCCGGGGCTCTAGAGGACATGCCAGATGGAGGACAGATGAGCAAAGCCTTCAGGACTCTATGCAATATGGCCAAGCCAGAAGTCCCAAAGCCAGAGCCCCCAACTAATCTCTACACTAAAAGGCGCTTCGGGAAGGTCTTGGGAGATGCCAGTTATGCAAACCCTGGATTCTGCTCCCAGCTCCTCCCGGCCAGAAGATGACACTGTGGATCCTGACAGCCATGTGGAGCCCTCCTCTGAGCAGTCCCAGCTGCCTTTGGGGAATGAACAGGCAGATTCCCAGGGGAGAGAAGATGGACCACCAGCTAACCAGCATACTGCAAAGAGAATGAGATAAATGCTGAAGAACTGCTGTCCCTGGGAAGAAACACAAAAGCCAGATGGAGGATGAGGAGGCTGGGAAATCCTGTCCTGTGGTCACACCTGGTTTAGAGGGGCCATCTACACCCCAATATCAAAGTCAGGATGGATCTGAGGGGCAGGGTGCGAGAAGCTGTAGCTGGCTGGAGGGAAGCTCTCATAGCACTTTGGCCAACAGGAAGGTGGAAGTGGTAGAAGCGGAGAGAAGCTTTCTGTGGAGAGCATTCAGATATATGAAGAAAGTGCTATAGTTGTAGAGAACACAATTGGAAAGGCAAAGGCAATAAAGAAGAAACTGAAGAGGTTCTAAAATACCTAGACTCCAAAGTGGAACCACTTTGAGGGAAATGCTTTGATATTTGAAAACAAATGATAAAGAGTGAAGAATCCTGTTTGTATCAGATTATAGCTGACCCATCTGCTGAGACTGGGACTGGCAATGAAGAGTTAATTAAAAAAATTTTTTTTCTTGTACATCTTTTGTCTAATTAACAGGGGCCTTGGGAATACAAGTGGGCAACCCATGCCCAGAAGAGGTACTCTGCCAAAACATAGTCATTTAGGAAAGACATGTCTTTCTTCTTGGCTCATTTGGAGACTCAGGAATGACTCAGAGGGAGTCTGGCTTTCACACAGATGGCACTGGCTCATTTTCATTCCATTTCCAACATAGCACACTTTATTAGATATAAAATGATTAAAGATACTGGTTTCAGTTTGAGTTTCATCCAGAGAATGATCTTTCTTTTAAAAAGAATTTTCTTTTTTAAAGATTTATTTATTTATGCATATAAGAACTAACGTACAGGCCAGAGGTGAGAGGATTCATCAGAGACAGAGTGGGGGGCTGAGCAGGTAGATCCACTGAAATACATTGCTGAGGGGAGCTGCTGAGGGGAGCGAAAGTGATCTTGAAGCAAAGATTTGAATGTATAATTGATCCATGAAAAGTGAGGGGATTAGGGCCCTCCCTGGTGGCACAACAGGTTAAAGTGATCACAACTGCTTTAGCATGAGTTCGATCCCCACCCTGGAGGTGACCCACATGGCTCAGCTGACCTCTCCTGCCTTGCTCACTGCT